TGAAACTGGAACAAATTCATAATTTAGTCTTTCAACGTTGTTTCCTTTTTGTGTTTATGGCTACTGCCACACAATCGGCTGATAGCTCTCCACGTGCCACGACAACTAGAGTTCCCCAGGATAGTGTCGATGAACAGTTTGTTCAACCGATTCATATCAGCTTTGATTGAAATTGTTAGCCGCTTGACATGAATTCTTTGTCCTTGTTTATAGGCTTGTTCTTTCCACCTGGGTAGCTGCTTCAGTAGCGTTGATGAATATCTGTCTTTATCGATAAAGACCGTTTCTAGTGGACAACACTGGTTGAAACAGAAATTAAGGTGGTCCGTAACATGTTCACAGAGGACAGAAGGGTTCTGATCAGGAAACACCGAAAAATCAGTGGCAGCAATCATGGATCTTAGCCTTTCCAAATTCTCTGATGAACAATTTCTTTGACTCACTATCTTGTAAGGCCTTCTTAACAATGTGTATCTGTTGGCTTGCTGTATACAGTGGGACATACTTTTAAGATACAATAGTCTGAACTGCTCAGGGGAGCGCGTTTCTGGACTTTAAAAAATTGTGGTCTGTTTATGAAAACGAAATCAAGCTGTGAATTCGGTCTGGTAGGAAAAAATACTAAATTTTGTAGACCCAGTGTAATGTAATGTCTGTTGAAATCATCAATAAATATACACAAAGAGTCACTTGTCTTTGATATTATGGAGGTAGAAAAAATGTCACAAAAGCTATTGATGTCAGCAATTGATATTGTGCGTGACAGGTAAAAGTTTTCAAGAAGGATGGAGTGAAACCCACCAAAAAAAGAGGCCTACATTCGATGATATGCCAACTGATTTTATCCGTTGAGTATTCGTAGATGACAGCAGTTTATTTACTTCAGTTTTCTCTGACGTAACTTGCAACAACTCCACCTCGTTTACGGACACTCGCGGGACGGTCAACCCGATACAAGTTATATCCATCCAACTGTACAATTTTACTAGGGATTTCTTCATGTAGCCTTGATTCCTGAAGCATAATAATTCCCAGGTTTTGTACTCGGTTTTCCATGTGACGTCTACTACCTCCTCGACGTTTCCTAACAAAGAACGGAACTTGCTTGTAAAAATGAGAGGAATTTGTATTTGACTGGTGGTGCACTGTCTGAGAGCGACTTGCCAACCTGCTGGATGCTTTCTCATTCTGCCGTTTTGTGTTTTGATCATCCACTTGAATTTATTTCTCACATTATTGGAGTATTTCACAAAAGACGCAGTTCGCGCGATAACACATAACGATTTCATGAACGTTTTCGTGTAGGATAGCATTTGGTGTCCTTGAAATTGATAGCAGTTCAATTTGGTGACAAATAAATCCACAAAAGTGTAAATATGATTTTTGACATAAATGGCGCGGCCGAATTAAAATACGCATTGGTTCGAGTCATTAATGGTGAGTGGGAGGATAATTGTGTCGTATGGGGTGTTGCCGATGGAAGACCGAGTGTTCTTACAAATTGTTTTGGGACTATAAAGAGGGGTTATGTAGGTGGATTCCGATCACTTCCGCTTTGGTCAGGATGCGACTCCTCAGTCTCTTCCATCGATGGCTGCTAACCAAGTAGACTGGTTAAAACGCATCGGCCACATCAACCTTTTGATTTGACTTCACAAGGAGTGAAACGATCAAACTATCAACAGTTGTTATCGCCCGGAGTACTTCCATTGTGTCGCGCTCAAGTCTTGTTCAGTTCTCAGTTAGTTTATCACTCCAAGGTCGCTGACTGTATTTCCAATTATCGTCTAATCCACACTTGATTGTGCGCTCGTTTGTTTGTGCCCCGAATTGGATACCTCAATTTTACTTCCAACAAGATGGCACGAATCTTTACTTTCCATATTCCTCATTTTTCTTCATGACAGCGCGGTTTTGTTTTGTACAACTGTGCATCTCACTCCGGCTAATTTCCGATAAGAACTGCCGAGACTTTCAGCTCATCTGACATAAACTTTTGCTTTCGTCGATAAGTCTCGAACGGTTGATCCGAGGCTGACAAATACGTTATTAATTAACGCCCAGAGACAACGGTGACACCACCGGAGATTCTAGCGGGTTTAAAAACCAGAGGGAGTTTGCATGTGCATAATAAGGCAACCATCGTCACAAAATATTTTTCTCTCTCCAACCGATCCGCTTTCTGGTTCGTCGTTCCGATAGGCCTGATTAATATGTTATGCATTTTTGACCGTCAAGAGTTTCACTACTATTCACCGACTATCTATTTTTATCCTGGTCCCGTCATGGTCAAGTTTCTGCGCCGTAAAATAGAATTGGTCGAACTGCCGCAGCATAAACTCGACCGTCCACCGATAGCCGGATGTCGTGGCGGCGCCAGGGATGTCTCGATTTGCTAAATGTCAGTGGAGTCTTCTGTAGACTAGCTGGTGGAGCAATCGGACAAGCAATGTTGATGTTAGGAGCAGAGTATTAGGTAACCGTGATCGACCACCATAGATTACGTTGGTTGGGGCATATGTTACGTATTTCACTAAATAGGTTGCCACGGGGCACGACATTTACCGAGGCAGGTAGTGGGCGGAGAAAAGCCAACGATTGTCAAAGCAATGCATGGCAGGAGAGTATAAATAACTAATCAGGAGACGCGGTCAAATGGGTCCCTTCAGGCATCCTTGCTGGGGACCTCGGGATTATCGTAACCGGTTGATATGACTGAATGTCGTAAACAGTGACGATCGTCTCTTTTCTCACTTTCTT